CTATGTTTGGAATCACAGAGATAGAATGGAACAGCCAAAAAGATGGTAGGAGTGGAAATGGAAAGAAAACAAAACAATTGGTCATTTTTTGTGCCATTTTGTACAAAACAATAAAGTAAAGCGCTTTGAAAATGTATTTTCCCCTCAAAGTTTTCTGCTTTTGTGTTGTTATACTTAAATGTTTTTTTTAAAAAGTAAAAAAAAAAAAAAAAATTAAAAATCCACTGGATTTTGTTTCGTAAAGTTTGTGGCTTTATACTAGCCTCGTGAGACCAGCTTTCAAGGTTTCACTCGCAGATCAGTCTGGCTACTTTCCGTTAAAGAAAATTTGGAGCCGTTCACCAAACGAACGTCCAATCAGCGTTGGCTTTGAGGCGGGTTGAGGTGTGACGCAACGAGAAGCGCGACAGTTCAGTCTAAAGAACATGGCGGCTTCAGCCGATGAAACTAGCGTTAGCGTGGCTATCGAGCAAGTTTTATCAGAATTACAGAGTATTTCTTCACTGAAAGAAGAGCAAAACACTGCTCTGGAGGCTTTTCTCAGAGGAAAAGATGTTTTTGCTCTTCTCCCGACTGGTTTCGGCAAGAGTAGCCTGGCTTGTGGTTGTGTTTTCGTCGTCGCTCTGTTAGTACATCATATGCTTCGTTCTGATTGGTTTATTTGGCCCATCTATCACCAACATAGGCCAATCAGCTAACCAGTATTTTCGCCCCTTCCCAAAATTACTTCAACGGAAGGTTTCCAGATGGATATGCGGAGCAAATCCATCTGGCGGAGTCAGGTTAGCTTTATAGAGTGGACCAAAAACAAAGCCCTGTTTTGGCTTAGAAAACATGCAAATTGAACCGAACAAACGGATCTGCCCCTTTTCCTGCATTACCGATACCTGTCTATGTCTCTGAAAAGGGGCGCGTAGACAGTTATCATTATTGAAGACTAACAAAGAAGGTATATAGGGTTCATATATAACCCTATATTAACAAGGTTTTATTAATATAGGGTTTTTGATTAAAATACAATGAATTAATTGCAAACCTTGTAGTTAGCTTGACTTAAAAAATGTTATCCAGCCCCTTCATATATATATATATATATATATATATATATATAAATATGTTTATATATATTTGTATTTAAGTTTTGTCCTCATCTCTGCTGTCTGTGGGTTAATTTTTTTTTTTTAGCAAAAAGCATATTTTATATTCTAGCTAAGAATTAGATTTGATTACCAAATTAGCAGAAGATGATTGAAAAAAATCAATTAATCAAAATAAATCTCATCAACTATTTTAGCCCTAATGCCTTAGCCTTAATCACAAAACTGTAACTTTTTGAAACTAGAGTCTTCATTGACCATTGGACAAATAAAAAAAGATGAAACATCAGTTTTTACTTTCATCATTTGTGATACATTAGACATTTGCATGCAGCTGATTTTCTTTTTATGTGTCTGAATATAAAACCAGACACAAAATAAAAGTTAAATCACAATAATAATGTAGAGGACTCAAAAGCTCATGTATCAAATATGATATCAAGGTTTACATGTTTGATGTTTTAACCTCCTTCATCCTTTCAGAGAGGTTCTGATGTAATGTCTCCACACAAACTGTGGAGCTTTTCAGTAAAAAAAAAAAAGTTTTTATTTACCCGGGCTTTTTTTGTTTGATTCCAGATTTCATGAGACAATCATTAACATTTAAGTTTAACAGAAAAAAACTAAACCAGAAGGAATCTATAAAGGGAAAATACAAAGCACTTTGAAATGCTAGTAAAAGTTTAAAGAAAGAGAGTACATTTCTTAACAACTCGCTATAGATCTCTCAGACTAGATGGGGACCTATTTCTACTGTAAGCACAAAAACACACAGACTAAATAAAGCACCGAAACTGACTTTTATTTCTGTACAACAAACAGACAAACTGAAAACCTTTTATTTGTGAGTGGTCTTTTTCTGGCTTACATGGTTGATTTAGGTAGAAAGGGTAGACACTAAAAGTATGCTTTCATGTTACTATAAGGTTTTTCAGATGAAAGGATTTCCTAAATGGAATACATAATTGAAAACATTTTATCTTGGAAACATCAAAACTAGAAACATCAAGATTTCTAGAGGAGAAATGAAGCCAATCTGCTGGACAAGAGAAAAATCTAAATGTTCTTTGGTCCCATCTGATAATGATGGTGCCAAAAACCTTCAGTAGATAAGGTTACAGCCATTCAGGTGGAGTTAAACGGTAGCCTCGTAAGACCATCCTGATCTTGCAAGCTTTCAAGATTTCACTCGCTAATCAGTCTGGAGACTCTCCGTTGAAGAAAATTTAGAGCCGTTCACCAAACGAAGGTCCAATCAGCGTTGGCTTTGAGGCGGGTTGAGGTGTGACGCAACGAGAAGCGCGACAGTTCCGTCTAAAGAACATGGCGGCTTCAGCCGATGGAACTAGCGTTAGCGTGGCTATAGAGCAAGTTTTATCGGAATTACAGAGTATTTCTTCACTGAAAGAAGAGCAAAACACTGATCTGGAGGCTTTTCTCAGAGGAAAAGATGTTTTTGCTCTTCTCCCGACTGGTTTCGGCAAGAGTAGCCTGGCTGTTAGTACGTCATATGCTTCGTTGATCTGATTGGTTTATTTGGCCCGTCTATCACCAACATAGGCCAATCAGCTAACCAGTATTTTCGCCCTTTCCCAAAATTACTTCAACCGAATTAGAATTTTGATTTGCTCCGCATATCCATCTGGCCGAGGCCCCGTCCACACAAAGTCAAACCCTGGCCTAAATGCACAAATTTTTCTCCAAACCAGCCAAGATTTTGAAACGCCGTTTCATGCATTCGTGTGGACGATCACATTTATTTTACGTCTCCGTCTTTACGACAAACGTTCTGGAAAATATTAGCGTTTCGTGTTCGTTTTGACTTCTCGTGGACGGGGCCTGAGTCAGGTTAGCTAAACGGAGCTCCGGTCCTAAATTTGAAGAGCAGTAAAGGGTCAGTTGTGGAAATGCCTCAAGCTGGGTTTTCGAAACAGCCAGATGCAAAACAGCTCTCTCCCCTCAGCTGGGCCCACACAAAAGATAAAAGACCCCTGCAAACACTTGTGCACAGAACTGTGCGGGTCGCACACATGCCACCTTACACACAGGCCGCACACACAAGAAGGGGGGAAATCAGAGGGGCTTTTCACTTTGCTGAAAAGAGTCCTCATTGAACTGTTCAAAGAACCAGGCAGGAAACAACCAGCACCAGTGTGTTCTTCTGTGACCGTACATATGTGTGAGTTTGCAGGCGAGTGATGGTTCTGATGAAAGTGTGGGATTGTGTATGTGACCGTGTCCTCCGCCGCTGCCTAACGATTGTAAATTGCGTGGCTGCAATTTCCTGAGTGCTGCGCGCTCGCTTTGTCCTCTTATGTGCAGATGAATAGGCAGCTCCTCCGCTGTGATGAGAGCCTGTAACTGCATCTCTTTTTTGCTCGTGTGTTTCACTGGAGATTCATTTACTAACAAGAAGTGCATCCCTATTGGGCTGCTGGTGTGTGAGACACTGAGATGTGTCTGCTACAGTAATAATGCTCCTTTATCTAGTTATTGTATGTTTTTTTTATGTCCACTGTACTGTATTGCTTTCTTTTTGTTTCTCTGTCTAATAGAGGGCTTGTGCTGTTTTTAGTCTCTGGTGACCTCCCAATATTATCTGAACCAAAGGATTCATTCTTTTGGCCTCACATGTCAAATTTAGCTTTTATTTGTTTAATGATCTCAGGAGATCAGCTTTTAATGGGACATATTTAACCCATTTATCTTCTTTTTGTCTGTCTGATAAGTTGATCCTTCCTCATCTAAATGTATGTATAAGCCACCTCATTTGATCGCGTGACCCGGTTGGCTTTGTAGCGCCGTGCTGACAGAAAAGAGGCCATGGCTGGCGCTCAGATGGCAGGCGGCCCGTAAGAACTCTAGCTGGACTAGCTGGACGCCCCACTGCAGGCCCAGCGGTAAACCCCTGTTTCATCCTTTCTCTTGGAAAAATCCTGCACACAGACGAGGGACGAGCATCTGCTCTCATTGCCCTACTTCTCGGTTTTCCTCGCGTCTCAACAACTGGAAGCACACACATACAAAAAAAAATCCTATCCATATTCGCTGTCATCGTACCGATTGTATGAACATATCCTTCTTCCAGCCGACCCTATAAGGACCCCTTTGGCAGCAGGAATGAGGAATCCTGCCATGTTCTCTGTAAAGCCTGAATAAACCTCTAAACCCCCCATAGCTTCTTTAATTTACTGACTAAACACTGACACTGTCATCTCCTTCAATCCCACGAGGCATTCTAAAACAATATAGACTCATTTACCCAAGGATCATCACTTTATTGCTAAATACTTCATGCTGTAAAATGCACACACTATGTACTGTATAATAGAATGGTTTGCCAGTTTATTTTTTTGTTTTTTTGTGTTTCATAGCTTCGTATGTTTTAGGTGTTTTCTCTCAGTTTCTTTGTTGCAAACAAGGAACATCAACAGTTTATTCATTATTTCAGTTCCTTTTAACAGATCCCAGACTTTTAACTTATACACATCAGTTTGGTGCTCCATAGGGTTTTGTCTTGGGACCAGTTGTTGTTTTGCTTTAAACCTCTTCCCACTTGTTCCAAAAATGTATGTCAACGTAATAAACAAGAAACGCCAACTTGCCCGAATATATTAAGAAAAATAACAAAAGTGCTTTTATAAAAAAATCTCTGAGAGTAAAAGAAACACTTTTTTTTTCTGGTACAACATAACCTTACAGGCATAAATGCTGATATTGGCACTTAAAATTTTTGAGATTATAAACCTAAATATAATTTTTAACTAGGCTTATTAAAGGAATACTACACCCAAAACATGATTAGCCTTCATTTTCTACTCACCCCCATGCTGAACAACACTCTGGAGTACTTTTTTGATATCTCAAATGCATCTGGAGATCTGGGAGGCTTCTTGCTGTCTG